AATGATTAAAGCATGTTGTTATCCAAAGTCACGATCTAAGACAGTTTGAGCACTTCACAATTACGCCCCACGATTTGAGAAGTTTGGTGACAAGCAGTTATGAAGAAGACGTGATGATAGGAGTTACACACAGTATTTATTGGCCAGTCGGCCATTATGAAAGAAATGGGTAGTTACAAACAGTTTCTAAACGATTAGAAACTGCCCAAGTCGTATAAAAGAAAGAAGAAGACAACGAAGAAGGCCCCGACAAAATTCACTCTCAAACAGAGAATATGTAATTTACTTTTTTTAGATTCACTTCAATTATTTCAATTCCCTTGTACTTGTGTGATTGCGCCCTTTGAAGGCATCTTGTTCGTATCCAAACTGTAATTTTCATATTCAATAAACATCCCCTTTTTGGGACTTCGTTTCAAGATGTTTGTCCATTACACAATCGTCTGATCCATTTTTAATTGTTAGCGAGTAAACGCGCGACCCAAATTGAACTACTTCAATTTAAGATATGCTTCTGGGAGTTGAAACATTTAAAGCAGAATGCTAAATCGGTAAGTCGTCAATCATTTAATTATGCATTTGTTGGATTTACTGAGCGAGTATTTTAGAAGAAATTTCTGATCTACGTGATTTCTGTTAAGCGCACACAATCCTGATTCGTTAGATTAGATTGAGAAAATCGAAAGATGACACTAGTATACTTTCATGTGATAATAGAAGATTGGGATCCATTATCACAGGGTTCAAAGGTTTGGTACCCTAGCTTGAATATTCCCTATTTAACACATGAAATTAATATATTTTAAATTTAACTTTTTAGACAATAAATATTTATTTAATTTATTTAAAAATTATATTTTGATAAAAGTTAATGAAATGTATATTATAGTTAAAATTTTATAAAAGTTATGGGTTTAATTGATTAACACATGACATACGATAGTAATAATTTAATCCAGCTTATCAAAGTTGACAAAACTTTTATCCAAACTCAGAACGTTGACTCTATATACAATTTCTGACTTTTCTTCTCTCTACCCAATACACTGCCAAGTACCCTGGGTAAACCCCTGATTGACGTGTATATAGGCTTGCATATCTTGAGAATTTAACATGTACGCATGTCTGTATGTTAGATGGTTGTACCTGGGTTGGCGTTACACTTCCAACCGTTCTTGATGCAACCTCTTTTGGGATTTTGGGATAATTTTCCGGCCTTAGTACGTAAAGACGGTAGGGAAATCCAAACCATCCAAGGATGATCGGAATCTTGCCCCACGTTTGGATCTTTCTGGAAAAATAGAAAGATTTTCTCATTATGTTGGTAACTGCATGACTCAATTTTCTTTCATTATATCAAAAAGCAGCCGTCTTAATTGTTACTTCTTGTTATTTTTGTCCTTACGGGGATATGAAATTTTTACTCTTAATATGTTTCGCAAAATTTTGTCTTGCTTTTTTGAACTTCAATCGAATTGAATGGGTTGGTTGAGTTTTTTTTTTTTTGGTAAAAAGATCGAAAGTACCTCAGTAAAAACATGAGTGGATGCTTGGCTAAGAATATGGACCCTAACTTTGATTTCTTATATAAAACGGAGTCATTATATAATTTACTTTGATGTGATGTTGCAGCTAGGCAAATGGGATTTCAAGATGAAAATGAATTTCCCCAATTATCAAAATTGGCATACGAGTACTTGAAGAAATCCAAAGGATGTGATGACAAAATTTATGAATATTTGGCTAATGAACCAAATGCTGATGCTTTGTATGTGAAGTTAGTGGATGAATTTGAGAGATGCATTCTTGGGTATTTTGCATTTAACTGGAGTCAAGCTGCTCTCATCATAAGTCAGGTATCATATTAATTTTAATTTTTTTTTGGATAAAACCCGGAGAATTCACGAAATTTCCTTGATATTTCCATTAACATATTTTGATCAAGTCCCAATAAATTATTATATGTTGCAGGTATTAAGTGTTAATTCTCATCAGAAAAAGCTCAAGGAATTTGTGATGGCAGCTACAAGGTGAGTAGCTGATTCTACACAAGGCTGCACCACTACTAAATTGGCTAGTTGAATTTTTAATGTAGGACTGAATGAAATGTGATGACACTTGTGAAACGTGTAAGCAGGATGGAAATAGTTAATTTGATCATTTATGGCATGTTTGGATTGTGGAAATGCATGAACAAATCGAAACAACTTGATGAGCAATGTCTCGATATGCTCGCCGATTGCACTAACTAAGGAGGATGGAAAAAAGTTAAAAGCCCCTTACCTTCCTTTCCATTGTTGTCAATTACTTTAGGTACATGTGTGGTACGATAGATTTGACAGTGCTCTAGTACTATCTAATTCTATGTACCAAACATGAACGTATATTGTTGGGTCTGTCTTTTGATATTATATAAAATTAAACTGCCTGCCCAAAGAGAATGTAACTAGTATTATTATTTGTAAGGTGATCATCATTTATGCTTGATTGAGTGGTTGTATATGTTGAAAGGGAAGTTACTGGTATCCTATTCATAAAATGTCAGAGGAGGTGATGGAACCTTATACAACTTGGCTGTTCTTATTCTTTATACAGATTCTTATGCACGTCACAACACAAGTGGTTTGAATGAGGAAAATTTATCTCCTAATTAATTATGGATTTGTTTTAACTTAACTTGAGAAGATTTGGGAAAAGGTAAATAATTAGTTAACAATCAAAACCTTATTGAGTTTCATTATTTGAAGCTGCAGGTCTTTAACCTTGTAATTGTTATACTTTACACATGTCAGATTCTGCGAAAGGAAATATTCATTCTTGTTTGGGAAATAATAGTCATTTTTGTGGTGTTGATTCGATTGTTTCTTCTATAGAAAGATTAAATTGGTAGGAAGTAAATAATCATAAGCATGGGTGAATAATCAACACATATAATTTTCAACAAACTTGACAATCGCTAGAAATTTGGAGATGAGATCAACAGCTCTCTTGGGAAATTGATTGTGATAAACAAATCACACTATGTGTTTTTCTTTTGACACAAAACAGAAGTCCAGTATTTCTCTTTGGTGAACGTTAACAGATTATTGGAAGCTGATCGTCTTTTTTCTTTTCTTTTCTTTTCTTTTTGTGTATATAGAAAGCAGAGGTTTGAAAAGTTAACGAAGGATCTGAAATTGACAAGAGTGTTCTCTACACTAGTGGAGGAGATGAAAGCAATCGGCATAATTTCGAATGGGGTACTAAATAATTCCAACGTGATGGTGCCAGCAGTTCACAGCCAGAGAAGTCCAGTGCTCCTCCTTATGGGCGGTGGAATGGGAGCCGGCAAGAGCACTGTCCTAAAAGACATTATGAAAGAGTAATAATTAACGACTATTCTTAACTTTGTTACTGTCATTGTCTTGTCACATTTATGTTCACTTCTTAGTTCTTAACAAGGTATTATAGTAGGCAAAGGTCTTGTTCAAATCTTACTGCTACCCATTTATGAAAATTTTCCATGTGTCGGACCTTTTATAAAATATAAATTTGGCCTACACTAGGGGGCCTTTTTGAAGGCTAAATTTAAATCAATAAATGTGATATTGCTTAACTGCTAAAGTTTTTAAATGATGTGGTCCGACAGCTCCATAAAATGAAGTCTAAAAGATCGTATCTGGAAGAATTTTAATTTATATTTGGCTGTGTAAGTGGAACAACCTCAACCTCTTCAACATACATTTTTCACTTTTAGTAACATTCATCTTTGCTAGGTGACCTTGAATTATATGTAACTCATGATTCACCAAGCCATATTTATTCAAATGAATACTAGAGTACTTTACCAGAAAGTAAAATTGAATTCATTTTATTGTAACTGAAAAAAAGTTGAACAATTTGGCAGCTCATTTTGGTCAGGAGCAGCAGCAGATGCTGTGATGGTAGAAGCGGATGCTTTCAAGGAAACAGATGTCATTTACAGAGCTCTTAGTTCTAGGGGTCATCACCAAGACATGCTTCAAACTGCTGAATTGGTAAAGTCTCCTGTTTGAGTACAAGTGCATGCATGAAGATACATAGAGAATGAAGTCGTTGAACTTGAAACTTTTCTTTTCATTAATTAGCTATCTAGTGGGATCCATTAACTTGGTTAATTTGCTTTTATAAACTATAAAATGATCAGTTATTGCATTCTCCAGCAATCGTGTCATTTTTAAGTAAATAGCATGCCGCATTAAGGTAACTATTTAGCAAAAATGTTCATGCAGAAGGTGGTAAAAAGTTGCTTTATCGTCACTCTTGCTTGTGCAAGATGTTGAGTTAGATGGAGTAAACACCTATTGGTTGCCGGGTATGCACAGCAATACTAAACATGACTGGATTGTATAAGATTTGATTTCTTTTTCTTCCACCCTACCAAACAAGCAATAATAAGCAGGCAATTCCCTGTTGACATATTTTGCTCGAAGTGGTAGTTATCAATCTAACTTCATATAGTAGACTGATTTCAACATTTAGATTTACTGCTGTATGTTCGCGTAAATGCATGTTGCTACATTCTACCATTATATAGACAAATTTATTTCTTAAGAATAGCCTTTGCATGAAATAGGTGCACCAATCTTCCATTGATGCTGCATCATCACTCCTAGTAACAGCACTCAATGAGGGACGTGATGTTATAATGGATGGTACCCTATCTTGGGAGCCCTTTGTTGAGCAGACAATTACCATGGCAAGAAATGTACACAAACATCGTTACCGCATGGGAGACGGCTATAAGGTGGCAGAGGATGGTGCTATCACTGAAAATTATTGGGTTCGGGTAGAAGACGAAGGAGAAGAAACTGCAATCAAGAAACCTTACCGGATAGAGTTGGTTGGAGTTGTTTGTGACGCCTATCTGGCTGTTGTTAGAGGTATCAGGTACAATTGCGACCCAGAAAACTTTCAGTTTTGAGTCGCTAAATTAAGTTCAGTGGCTATCAGAAACAAGTATTCATGAGCTTATAAGATTATTGCAGGAGGGCAATTCACATGGGAAGGGCAGTTAGGGTAAAGTCACAATTGAAGTCCCACAAGAGATTTGCAAGTGCATTTCAAAGATACTCTCAGCTTGTAGATAATGCAAAGTTGTATTGCACAAATACCCCTGGAGGTCCACCAAGGGTAATATGCAAAAACTTAATATTTTATCCTTCTTCAGAAGACACTGGCTGGTGAAATTTACATATGATTCGATAACTTGCACAAATAAATTTAGTGATTATAGACTGTATAGTGGTTGATTATTCCAGCCTGTCACTCTGACAACCCAGGCTTGATTCCCAAGAACGTTACATAAATTTTGGATTGTGTAGATTTGCCATGGTTCTAGTCACTTTAGATATGCCAATAGAACTGAATTGAGCAGAATGACGAATAAGAATTCATGTAGTCGATTCCAAATTTATTGAGTACGGTTTAGTTATTATTATAGAATAAGGTGCCGAAATAACTTGCTGCACATATGAATTTACAAGTGAGGTGTTTGTGTACAGAGGGGAAAACTTAGAATTGTTCTATTCCAAACTATAGAGAGTTTTCTTGAGTTCTAAGTATTTTCAGCATGATAGAAATAGAGTGATTATGAGTAAACACTTATTTTCTATATGCAGCTGATAGCATGGAAAGATGGAGACAGCAATTTATTAGTTGATCCCGATGAAATCAAATGTTTGACTTCAGTAAGCACTTTGAATGAAGAAGCAGAGTCCATTTACGAGCTCTACAAAGAGCTGGACCAAACAACTGAACCCGGTTCAGTTTGGAAAGAAATGGTTTTGTTGCCTACAAGAGCAAGTCTTCAGCAAGAACTGAAAACTGTTATACAGAAAATCGAAATTTCAGTGGCTTAGATGGTTAACTTGAAACCTTTGTAATATATTCTTTGGAATCAGAAATGTTCACACTAACAGGGACCATCAATTGTAAATAATTGTTACTACAGATTAATCTTGTGTGAACGCCACATGTACTTTTTCTCATTGGCCTGATTCAGGACTTTTTCTTGAACAGTTCCAAAGAAATGTTTTTTTTTTTTCTTGCAAGTTCTGTATCTATTATTTGTACTCGTAGACTTCTCTTTCTGCTAATTTTAATGAGAAGGCTCAGGCAGTTACAATTGGTGTCCAAATGAGTTTGTTGGGCCAGGTAGGCTGAACCGGCCTGGCAAAATATGGCAGGCCTTACTGGGCCTGTGGCCCACTTTTTTTTGAGGAAATTAGGTCCATACTCATTTTCAAACAAACTTAAAATTAAAACATATGCTGCATTTTCAATTTTTTTTTTTTTTTGAGAAATTCGTACATAATTTAATAAATATGTTCCTCTATATTAGAAAATCCGTCGAGGGGGGAAAATGTAATTTTCATTTTAAAGAAGAAAAATATAACCTTTAATTTTTTTGTAAGTAAAATATATTTTATATTTGTACTAATTAGTTATTTATTTGCTTGATTAAATTAGAATGAATATAAAATGTCAAAACATGGGCCAAAAGTGTGTTCAACTGATACAGTCCAAATAAGGTAAGCCAGGTACTCGGACTGATTGGATGCTACAGGTTAATAGATTTTTTGCTGCGATTTGTTAGGGTTTCCAAACCCTAAATGAAGTATAATATCTACTGTAACACCCCGAAAATTTTAGAATAAAAATTTATTTGTTATATATATTAAATTTTTGAAAGTTGAGGGACTAAAATAAAATTTTAAATTCTTATGTTTTTTGTCAAATATTTGATTTTTTTGATAGAGTGACGAAAAATATATTAATATGGGTCTCGTTGGATAGTTAGTTTTTAATCATTAAAATAGGCTTTAGAAAAAGTTAATTCGGATAAGTATGTCTAAATATTAAAGTTTAAAGAAATTTGTAATTTATTTATATTTTTAAAATAAAATTGAAATTGGATGAGGATTGTTACGGGTAAAGAATAGATGTGACAATAATATTTTATTAGAATTATATTTAAAGTCAAAGTTGTCACTATCACCTTTTGAGATTGGAATCTTTTCTTTTTATGATAGACACGTGTCATCTTGTGATTTATTTATTAAAAATTCAATTTTTATCAAACTAAATAGACACGATTTTTATCACAATTATACTATGAATCAACTACTGTTTTCCCATATAAATAGTGTGCCCATAACTCACAATTCACCATACAGAATTTTACACAGCAGTTTTCATATAGAAAGCAGCTGTAAATTCTAAGTACATTTTCTTTACTCAAAGCTCGTTTGATCTTTCAAGGTAAGATACTTTTGTACAAGTTATTTT